AACTCAGAGTGATCTTTCTGTCTTAGTCTTCCTAGTAGTGGGATTATAGGTGTGCGCCATTATACCTGGAGAGTTTTTTATTTTTATTTATTTAGAGTATTTTTATTGTGTATTTAGCTTTCTTATTTTTTTTCCATGCTGGGTATTGAACTCAGGGTCTTGTACATGGTAAGCATACACTGTACCACTGAAGTTCCAGCCCCTGCCACTTTTTTTTTTTTTAAATAACATAAACAGGCAGCATCCACAGCATTTATTTCTCCCACTTCTGACAAAGCACTTTCTTTATTTAATAGAAATTGACATCTTTGTCTTTGTTAATTAGAAAAACAGTCTGTATTAGGCCTGGTGGTATATTGTAATGCCTGTTACTCAAGAGGCTGAGACAGGAGGATCAGAAGTTTGAGGCCAACCTGGGCAACTTAGTCAAAACTCTTAAAATTTCAAAAGGGATGAAGATGTATTTTAACAGTACAGTGCTTGCCTAGCACATTAAGGCCCAGAGTTGAAAAAATTTTAAAAAAGAAAGAAAATAATAAACTGTTTGTTTTCCTTCTCTGCTCCATAACGCTTAGTTCTTTTTTTTGGGGGGGGGTGGAGGATGGATGGAGGGAACTGGGCATTGAATTCAGGCTCTTACGCCTGTCAGGGAAGTGCTTATTCTACTGAGCTATCTCTCTGGCCCCCAAAATGCTTACTTCTTAACTGAGTAAAAATATAAAAATTGTACAATAACTATGTTTTTGTGCCAGAAAGTCACACTTTTTCACTGAATTTATTGATTCTAAGTTTTTTGTTTCTGTCTTGCTTTCATGGTCAACAACTTTGAAGCAGAAAAAATTACTGGATATGCCTTGTTCATCAGCCCTGGCCTGAATAGTGCTAACTGCCTAATGAATATTTACTGGATGACATAGCAAAATATCACATCTAGTAAACTTGAAGTAAATGTTAAGATATGAAAATTAAATAAATGTACTGTAAGACTTGGAAGCAGGGGGATTTGTGTTAATTTTGAGTATGATTTATAATACTGCAAACATAAATACATATCCATTAGGCACATTTCTGTGTTTCCACAGTGAAGTGATAGTCAGCTTTTTCAAATGTCCAGCTTTTTACCCCACATAATCTAATTTTGGTGTTAATTATTTTGATGCAAACAGTAATGTTATGAACTGGGTTACAATATCAAGCAAGCTGCCGAACCACTAAAAACTTGGAGATGCTTAGGCTATCCTGATTGGTCCTCTGCAATATTGTGTAGGAGTTAGAGTTTGGCTAGTACATGACCTCATTATCTCATGATTTTCAAATCACCTAAGTAATGAAGAAGCAGATATGTCTGGTAGAGCTTGGCACTGTGTAGAGAGAAAAAGAACGCTGCTTGCAGAGTGGATTTAAATTTATTTTTTCCTTGTTTAATCTTATATAGAACATAGGTCTGAACAGGGAAGTATGCAAGTGCTAGAGGTTGATAGTACAATGGAAAACCTTTGTTTCTTACTCTAAACCTCAGTATTTCCTAATGCTATTTCCACATCGCATTTAGTAACCCTAGATAGTTCTGTTTGGGACAATTTGGCAGATATTTAGGATTGCCAACTATGTGGCAGTCCCTGTCCTAGGTGTTATAACTATAGCATGTAAAGCTCCTATTCCTGTGGAACTTCAGTTTCAATGGGAGCAGATATCTATGATGTCAGGTGGTAAAGAGTGTTTGTTTAGGGCAAAGGGTACAACTCAGTATAGTGCTGCCCTAGCACATGAGGCTTTGAATTCAATCTCCCACCACCACCATAAAAAAGAAAAAAAGTTAATTGTTCTAGGTATTTCTTTTTACTTTTCTTTTTTTTCCTTTGGTATCAGAGATTGAACTCAGGGCCTTGTACTTGCCAGACAGGCACTTATGCCACTGAGCTATCTCCCTGGACCTGTTTCCGGTATTTCTTGTAGCATAACAAGCTACCCGCAAGTTGACAGGAAAAAAAAATGTATTTATATACAATGGAGTACTACCCTTCCATAAAGAAGGATAATCTTGGGTCATTTGTAGGAATATGGCTGCACCTTGAAGTCACAATGGTAAGTGAAGTAAATCAGACATACAAGCTTAACTATCCCATGGTTTCTCTTAGATGGGAAACCCAAGATATAAAGAGAAAAAAAATAGATAATAGAGCTCTTTTGTGAAAGGAAAGGAGTACAAGAAATGAGGGAGGGGGAAATGAGAGGACAAGGGGGTGAAAAAAGAGCTGAGATGTATTATATATATGTATTAACTGTCCACAAGGAATGTGATCATTATGTACTAGTAAATAATAAAAATTGAGGGGCTCGGGAGATGGCTCAGTAGAATAAGTGGTTGCCTGGCAAGCGCAAGGGCCTGAGTACAATCACTGGTCTCGCAAAAAATAAATAAATAAATAAAAATAAAAAATATATATATAATAATAAAAATTGAACAGAAAATAAAGTCAAACAATTTCTTCCAATTTGCAAATGAGAAGATTTGGACCTAGGCATAGTTCGGATGCTTTCCCCCACGTGACACCTTCTTCAAAAACAAAACTATTTTATCCTCTCAATTCTGTGGTTGAAAAGGGCTTTTTGGATGGCTCGTGTTTGGTCTTTCTTGGAGTTGGTCATTGGTTGCTGGATCTGGAATTTCCCAGGCTGGCCCAGTCTTGTGCTGTCAGCTGGCCTGATTGTGGTATGGTGCTCAGCTGGGCCTGGTTCTTTTCTACTGTGCTTGTGTGTGGCTGGCTGCTTGCAGCACAGTGCATAGCTTCCACAAAGGAGTGCTGCAAGAAGGCTAAGGGAGAAGCTGTAGATTTTTGAACATGTAGACTGGAGTTATAGGATTTCATTTTTACTGTATTTTATTGGTCAAAATAGTTCACAGAGAAGGGGAAACAGATTACCTTGGTGGTGGCAAGATGACACTGCAAGAGCACATGGGATAGAAGACATTGTTTTGGATCTGTGGAAATGCAATCCAATGCTATGAAAAAAATTAAGCAAGTTAGTGGAGTGATAGAGGAATAGGGCAGGAGGGACAAAATGTGCAGTATAGGGATTTCGATGGTTTGTGTTTAGATGTTGCCTCCCAAAGTGTCATGCAGTTTTTATGTATGTATTTAGATATTGGGGATTGAACTTGGGACCTTGTGTTTGACAGGCAGGTGCTTTCACTACTGAGTTATATCCTAGGCCCCTTCTTCATGCCGTTTTAGAGGGGCCTTTTATGGTGGTGCTGAATCTAGAGTGTGTGATTTGTTGGTAGAGCAATGCTGGGATTAATGGATTAAGGTGAATGATTGCTGAATCAGTCCACTGATTGGATTGGCACCACCCTAATCCCAGCAGCCTGGCAAGGAGACACTGTGAAAGGTTGGTTGTTGATTTTGCTGTCTTCTTCTGCACTGAACTGTTGCCCCTCTGCCATGTGCCACCCTGCCTTGGAGCCAGCCAGTTATGGACTCAAACCTCCACAAACTGTGAGCTAAATAAACCTTTCCTCTGGTTAATTTTGGGTGTCAAGTATTTGTCCCAGCAATGAGAGAAAAGTTACAAGGATTCAAGGAAAACCTTCCTAGAGAGACAGCATTGTAGATGCCATATGGAAATTAGTGTAAACCATGAGTATCATAGGAAGAACATCCAGGCGGAGCTAGCATACTGGATGCACAGAAGGTCTGCGGTGGGAGAATCTGCCACTCAGAATGGGGAGGATGGGAGTTGTGCATGTGACTGAATGGAATGATGACCAGAGAGTGGTAGGGCACTATCCAAGGGGAAGAAAGAAATACAGAATTATCTGAGTAAAATGGAAATCCATTGGAAGAGTCTGAGTACAGATTATGTAATTTAATTTAAAATTTAAAAAGCCTGCTGGGGCTGGCCAAATAGCTCAGCAGATTGCAGCACCTTGCAGGCTCAGGGGCCTGGGTTGGATCCCCCAGCCTGCTGTGCCGGCCCTGCCCCCGGGGCGTACTGAGATGCAGTTGAGCCAGGGCAATTGAGACTGGGCGTGGTGGCGCTTGCCTGTAATTCCAGCTCTTGAGAGGGTGTAAGCAGGTGGATCACTTTAAGTCCTATGTAGTAGTGAGACCCTGAACACCCTGTAGACCCTTCCCTAAAATAAAATAAAAAAAAATTCAGACCCAGTCAGGCACAGGATACCAGGATTCCCCAGCTCCACATGCCTTACCAGACCCGCCCTTAAAGCAGCCTGAGCCAGCCCCCCCCCCAAAAAAAATCCTTCTAAAAAGCCTCCTGGTGTGAGAATTCTTGGCTACTATTTTTGAGAATAGATTGCAAGAGGACAAGAATGGAAGTAGAATGGTTGGCGACATAGCTTGGCAGACTCCTCTGCTTAGGCAAGTGCAGAGACTGGGGTACAGTCCCTGGTATCCTGGTACAGAATGAATGCCGGCCCCACCCTTGGGTGTGCTGAGCCCTTGACCTAGTCTGGGTGTGGTCACACATGCCTGTGATCCCAGCACTTGGGAGGCTGAGGCAGGAGGATCCTTGCAAGTTTGACTAGCCTGGTCTACAAAGTGAGTTCAAGGCCAGCCTGAACTGCATTGTGAGCCCTTGCTCAAATAGAACAACAACAGCAAAAAGAAAGTAGGGAGACAAGTTAGTAGACTAAGCCATGTGAGAGATGAGAAATGTGATATGTAATGAGAAAGGATAAGAAGTTGGATATATCTCAAGGTAAGACAGTTTGTAGGTGAGGGTGGATATGGGGTACAAAAGAGGGATCAAGAATGAATCTCAAAGCTTTTTTCTTTCCTGTTAATTTTTTTAACCTCAAAGCTTTTGCCCTGGGCACTTGGAAAGTTGAAATTGACATTTATTGAGATGGAAATAGTGGTGTATGTGTGGGGGTGGGTGGGTGTGGTAAGGATTATGCAGGATTTATAATTTTGGCTATATTGATGATAAAAATGATATCTGGGGAAAAATTACTAAATGTTACTTCCTTATTGCAGGTGTGACGTTGGGTGCTTCAGATCTGGTCACTATGGTACGAGAACGAAAATGCATATTGTGCCACATTGCATACAGCTCAAAAAAGGTAATAGTGGAAGAGGGAGAACCTGAGGCTTTGTGACCAAACTTTTTTTTTTCAGTACTGGGGAATAGATACTCCTGCCTGGTCTATTTGCTTTCACAGTAGTGCTGCTAGCTTAAATACGGA